TCAATTTGGTTGCTGGTTTATTCTCAAGCTTTAGCTGCTGGCGTAAAATTGCGTTATATATTTCAAAGCATAGGCGTGAGAGCACGAGAAAGAGGGATGTTTATGCAAATTTCGCATTTTTTTCGCGAACGTTGTTAAAAAGGTTTCATCGAAATAGAAATTGCCAAACAAGCGAATTACTGTAACAAGCATTACATACTTTGGATAGTTTGTATATTCTGACAATGCACCATTGTCACTTCTTTCTATCTTTTAATCCGTGCAACTCTGAACAACTCCGTTTATTATACATTATCAATTACCAATTTTACATATTATACAGATATATCACTTTTCTCTCTCTCTCTCTCTCTTTCTCTCTCTTTCATCCCATCGACAGAAATATACAAAAGAAGATTTAGTGGAACGAGAAACAAGACAGGATTAACAACAAAACGCGAATGAATTATAGGAAGTCGCGGGATATTCGATCGATCGTCTGGGAAAGCCGCGTTGGTATCGCGCAGAACCGAGCGTCGTCGTCGGCAAAAATCGAACGTCCGCATTGGCAAATAACATCCGGCCAGATAAATCCACACCCTTTCAATAACGCCGGCATTCATAACATTTAGAGTGCACGGATTATTGCATTATTGGCGTCGCTTGATCGGGAGGTAAATGTTCGAGTGGAGGTCGAGTGTGTCAAGCCCGGGGTTCGTCGTTGCCCGGCGCGCGGCGTTCAAGCTTCTGCCAGTACGGTTCTCGTTCTCGTGTGTGATGCGTGGCGTGTATGTCTATGTGTATGTGTATCAAAGGTCTGTGGATATCCGCAATTGTCCGGCGCAATTCTGCAGCCCGGTGGTATTATATACGAGCGCGCGTTTCAACGCCGCGAATACTTTAGTTGCTCGCTGGCTACGTCCCGTTGCGGAAGCGAGCAACGTTTCGTCGTCTAGTGCGCATCCGGTTCTCAACAGCCAGGCAAAATGCACCGATATGGGCGCCGATTACGTCGTCGACGAAAATAACTCCTATTTTCGAACGTGATTTTAAAACACACGGAAGCTATCGTTCCTTTCCATAATGGCTCCGTACACATCTGCGACGAGAGGATACTCTGAGAGGATTAAAACGATGCGACGCGTTTAGCTCTCTCTCTCTCTCTCTCTCTCTCTCTTTCTCTCGCTCGTCGTTTTCGGAACGTTACGAACGAGGCTGCAGCGAGTCAAACGGCCAAGTGCTCGGGGGATGAAGTTTCATCGAGCACTCGAGAGAATGGGGAGCTCGAAGGAACGTCGCAGGGACCTTGAGGGACAAAAATATCCTCGTCGACCTCGTGTACGATCGCATCTTCGAGTTTTAAAACACTGGCGAAGATGGGATTT